TGGTTCCTCGTCAGCAGGACATTCCAGTGTTGAATTGCCTCTCGCTGCTGGCGAGGGCTCTTCCAGAGACATGGCCAAGCCCAAGTTCAGCTGAGGACATGCAGTGCCTCCCTCGGGAATGCTAGGCATGACCGTGCTGTCAAGCCTGGTCCAGATGTTGTGGAACAGTCCTTGAACTGGGATCCTCAAGATCATGGTGTGAGTGCTCTTCTGGTTCATTTGATTTCTGATTTAATCAACGTTATGGAGTGGGCTCATCTGCTAGGGAGCGGGCTTTCATGTTGTGCTGAAGCTGGATGTGTGCTCACCTACTGGGTTTCATGGCTGGTGGAGCCCTGCGAGGTGGCACGTGCCTCGGTTCTTCCATCGCATGATTCTATGTGTCCCCTCTCCATCACACAATGACAATCCTCATCTCCTGTGTGATGAGCTTCATGGAGCCGTGCTGGGAGGAGGAAGGGCAGGGCTGGGGGAAGGAGGTGTGATATGGGAAATGACACCAGTCCTCTGTGTCACTAATCCCAAGCAACTACTCCCGCATGACCGGGCAAGACAGCCCCGCTGTTTGGGTGATGGTTTCTAGGAGGTGTGTGAAGAAAGACGTCAAATCAGAGCTGATGTGTTGGCTGTGGGAAGCTGTCGTGGCTCCAGGCAAGGGTGTGAAGTCAGCTCGTCTTGCCTTTTCCTGCCTCTTCTGGCCCCGTTTCCTTCTCCAAACAAGGTCTTTGTGATGATACCCCAGCTGCGCCCTGGGGATGTCTGAATCTCAGCTGTGGGTGGAGATGTGGTGGTGGCACGGGCACTGGCTGCTGTGCTGGCCCTTTCCTCCCACTGCATCACTACTTTTGTTGGAGGAGGTGTCCCAGCTCCCTCTGAGTCTCTGCTTTATGTCTCATTCCCACCAGACCATGACCAGACCTCCCTGCGTGGGTCCGGCCCTCCCACGGGTGAGAATCAGTGGTCACTCTTGGAGTGTTGATCATCTCAAGGGAATTTGGCAGCTGAGGGAGCTGCAGGCCTGCACACGCTCCCGGCGTCCCTGTGGGACATGACGTGGGTGCAGGAGATGCTGGAGTGGGTGGAGGCAGCGTGTTGGATGTGGAGTCAGTCCGTCCTTCTGTGGCCAAGCAGAAACCCTGAGCTTCTCCCAGGGGCTTTGCAAGGGGAGCTGCAAAGGTCTGGGGACATGTTGGAGGATGCATTTGTGCTGGTCCATGATGGGGTGAAGGACCCTTGGGCTGCTGCTTCTTGCTTGGGCCAGAAGCAACTTCTGCCACTTGCCTTTGCCTTGGTTTCCTCATCTGTGCAAAACCAGGAGGAGATGTTTTCCCAGAGATGATCCACAAAGAAGTGGCTTGGCACTGGGACAAGGCTCAGGGTCGGCAGTCCTGGGGGTCTTGTGCTCCATGCTGGGACTGCCCACGTGTGCTCCTCACCATGGAGTGACTGTTGAGGTTCACAGTCTTCTGTGGTCTCCAAGGAGCAGCCCAGCACCTTGTCCTGCCCCACCAGCACCCACCTGAGCACCACTAATGGGCTCGAGCAACGTGGCATAGAGCTGCCCCATCCCTCACTACAGGCATTGCAGGTACCAGCAAGCACCTTGAAATGTCCCAGCACCGGGGAGGAGATCCCCTCCTGCCCACAGCAGCGTTGTCAGTCTCGCTGCCACCCTCCTGACCGGTCTGACAACCTGGACCGTTGAGCTGCAGCTGAGGAGAGGGGAGCTGGTCCTTGGCAGCCTCCCTGCTGGCAGCGCAGGTGCCAGGAGGGTGAATCCTGCCAAGAAGAACGTGAAATACCAGCTACAGCCACCCCCGTACATGGGCCCCGTGGGGGCCAGTGGGTGCAGAAACAGCACGGAGGTGCTGGGCTGGGGATGGCTTGGGCTGCCTCCAAGGAGCACTCAAGGGTGCTGGTGTTCTGGTGGAATGTGCCCTCTTGGTTGGTACGAGGTACCCCATCTCCAGGGCTCTGGCAGAAAGTATGGCGAGATGCCACCTGGAGGGCAGGGCATTGCCATGGGTAGAGGGAACTGGAGTTACTGGGGGCAGCAAGGAGGTAGCTCAGGTCAGGGCCTGATCCTGTCAAGGGCTGAGTGTCTCTGCTACCTGCTCTGCTCTCAAAGGCTGTGGCAGCCCTAATGCCCTGAGGTGTCCCCATTTCTGACCCTTAGGTCCCACTCTTTGCATCCATCTGAGCCCTTCCTGCTCTGCTCTTTGGGGGTTGGGGGAAGGTGGCCTGTGACACCCATCTGACACGGCCACCCATGTGGGACCCTGGGCTCCAGCGCTGGCTTTGGGAGATGTCCTCCTTGCATGTGCAGTGCAATGTCCCTGCTGTACCCACGGTGTTGACCGTTTCCCTGCTGTGCTGCTCTTGCAACAACCCTTGGGTGCTCTCCAGGATGTCACCTCTCCCAGCCTCTCTGTTTCTTCTTCCATGCACAGACAGACCTGTACTCGGGGGCCCTCTTTGTCCAAGTCTGCCTGGGCTGGAACCTTTACCTCTCCACCATCCTGATGCTGGTGGTCACAGGGCTCTACACCATCGCAGGTAGGTTGCTCAGCATCCTCAGTTTTTCTGCTTTGGTTGAACCACACCACCCACACTCCTGCTTGTATTTATTTGTTTGGTTTGTTTGGTTTGTTTTGCTCCTGGAAGGTCTTTGGGGATTTATACTGATGGGGTTCACATTCCCTGCCCTATCCAGCTGGCATCTGAACATTGGGGAGGGACTTTTTATGAAGGCAGTTAATGATAGAACAAGGGGTGATGGCTTTAAATGGGAAGGGGGGAGATGGAGATGAGATGTGAGGAAGAAGTTCTTCACTGTGAAGGTGGTGAGACAGTGTCCCAGGTTGCCCAGAGAAGCTGTGGCTGCTCCTCCCTGGAAGTGTTCAAGGCCAGGTTGGATGAGGCTTTGAGCAACCTGGTGTAGTGGAAGGTGTCCCTGCTGATGGCAGGGGGGTTGGAACTGGATGAGCTTTAAGGTCCCTTCCAACCCAAACCATTCCATGACTCTGTGATTCTATCCTCCTGGAGTGTCAGCTCAGGCAATGGCTCGATGCACGAGCTCTCCTTTGTCATTAGGGTTTTTCATTTGCCATAACTCCTCCCCCGTCACGCAGTTAAAGACTTTCTCATGTGTGCAGCTATTTGTCAGAGCAGTAATCAGGGCTTCTCCCATTACAGGACCATTACTGTGGAATCTACAACCTGAAAGCCCTTTAACCCAACTCATTTCCCTCCCACTTGCCCTGCCTGCAATGCAACTCGCTGCTCTCCTCTGCAAAACTTTCAGGAATATTTCTTCCTCGTGCTTCCCCATCATGGGAGCAGATGTTTTTGTGCAGGGTCAATCCATATGGTTCTTTTCTCATCTGGAGGTGATGAGGGTTTGGATCTGGAGGTGGAAATTGGGAGTTCCTGGCTTGTAGTCCCACTCTTGGACTGCAGAACCACGTATCCCTACCAGCCCTTTTGGTTGTTATTTTAGCTGGGTCGTTCCCTCTCCTGGTAGCACTGGTGGAGATGCCCAGCAGTAGATTCTCCCTCATCATCTCATCCCAACCATCCAAACGGGAAACAGGTTAAGTATATCCGAAACGTGGTGGATTTTGCAAGACTTTGGTTTTAAGTAAATCCCATCTCGGGGTTTTTCCTGCCCACAAGGCTGTTGTGCAGGACAGCATTTTGGTGTGAGCTCAGGCTGAGGGTGTGATCCCTGTGTCACCCTCATCCTGAGAACATCCCTCCATATCCCAGGAACGACCGGGGAGGGTGCAGCCCTGAATTCCCAGGGTGTGAGTTGGTGACTGGGCTTGAAACTGGTTCAGTTTTTGACCCATTTTCTCTCACTCTGATCCTTTTTAATGCTTTTTGTCCATGTGCTGAGTAATTGCTTTCTGGGTAGGTAAGAAGGTCCTGGGTTTGCAACAGGTCTGGAGGAAGAACTTGGGATGGAAAGGGAGAAATGCTGATGGCTGGATGGCCAAGGGGGATCCCACTATGGGTCAGGTGCTGGAGAAATCAAACTGTTGGGTTGGGAGGAGAGTTGAGGAGTGTATGAAGGGGAAACCTGGTATGGTGCTAGGGAGAGGTGGGATGAATGATGAGATCCATGTCCTGAATGTGGTCTGCTTGCTGGAGCAACCAAAAAACTGGGGATGGCCAGTGTCCTCCTGGCATGTGAGGACATGGGCCTGCATCCCTCCCCTCCTGCCACCCCTCAGGTCCCCTTCCCTGCCCCGGGTGGGATCCCCCATGGCTGTCAGCTGCTCCCCCATCCCCACCGAGGAGCTGTTCCCCCTGCACGCTTCCACTGCAGCCCCCCATCAGCAGGACCAGGCTGGTGACAGCCACGTCCCCGCCAGCGCGGGCAGCTTTATTGGGATTTCACGACCGAGCCCGGAGCCGGCGGCTCTGCTGACGCTGTTCCTTGCTCTGGTGCAGGGGGGCTGGCTGCTGTCATCTACACCGACGCGCTGCAGACGCTCATCATGGTCCTTGGAGCCATCGTGCTGGCCGTGAAAGGTAAGAGGTGGGACAGCACAGATCCCTGTTCCACAGGAACCTTCTCTCCCACTTGGGTGATCTTGGAAATAAATAAAAGGACTCAGTCTGAGCAGTTTGGTGGCCACCATGCCCATAGCAATCACCTACAGAAAATCTGTGTTCCTCCTGTGTCCCCTCTGCCACTGTGCTTCCCCCACGTGCCATTCCTCTGGGTGGAGATGCCATGAAGCATCCCCTGGGCTCTCCCCAACGCTGGTGACATTCCCGTGGTCATCACTGCTCCGCAGGTTTGCTTCTAGTCCATACAATCAGATTGATCAAGTGTTGGACAGTGAAGCAGCATTTCATTTCATGTTTTTCTTGGGAAAACTTGCAGTGGAGTTGTGGTGGGACCTTCAGAAAGGATCCTACCGCGTGGGGACGTGCGTGGCAGAAGGTGGTGCAGGGATGAGGCACTGCTGCAGGGCATTGCCTGGGGATGAAGAGCATGGTGCCATGGTTGGAGTCACCAGCCCTTTCTGAACACTCAGCACTGTTGTGTCTCTGTACATTTAGCCGCAGAGCACCCTTGTGAGGTTGGGATCTTTCATCAGCCGTGTTCTGCCATTGGGGCTCTTGGCCCTGAGGAGTAGGAGGCAAAAAGTCAGGTCCCAGCTTCAAAGGCAGGTGTTTAACTACAGAGGACAATTTCC